GAGTTTAGAGCTGGTTGACTGAGTTTAGAGCTGGTTGACTGAGTTTAGAGCTGGTTGACTGAGTTTAAAGCTGGTTGACTGAGTTTAAAGCTGATTGATCAAGTTTAAACCTGGTTGATGATCAAGTTTAAAGCTGGTTGATCATTGAGTTTAAACTTGGTTGATGATCGAGTTTAAAGCTGATTGAGTTTAAACTTGATTATCAAGTTTAAAGTTGATTGATCAAGTTTCAGTTTGGATTATCGAGTTTAAACTTGATCGAGTTCAAACTTGATGATCGAGTTTAAAGTTGATTATGGAGTTTAAAGCTGATTGATCAAGTTTAAAGCTGATTGAGTTTAAAGTTGATTGATCAAGTTTAAAGCTGATTGATTATCGAGTTTAAAGTTGATTGATCGAGTTTAAAGTTGATTGAGTTTAAAGTTGATTGATTGAGTTTAAAGTTGATTGATCGAGTTCAGACTTGGTTGTTGATTAAGTTTAAACCTGGTTGATCATTGAATTTAAACTTGATTATTGAGTTTAAAGCTGATTGATGATCAAGTTTAAAGTTGATTGTCGAGTTTAAATGTGGTTGTTCTTTGATTTGCACGATAATCCTCTTTCAAATATAAACCCAAAGGGGGAGATGAAACTTTGCATTTCTGCTGGCAAATTTGGAAGCGAACGAAACCCACCCCCTAAACCTCAGGCCTGGCTTTTCACTGCCTTAGGCTGGGCCTAACGGGAGACAATCTTTGCTGCTGCCCTGGCACGGGTGGCACAACAATTTGGGATTCAGGGAAAAACATCCTTGGGGGGTGAGGGTTGGAGAGGTTCTTGAAAGGAGAGAAGGAACGGGAGGTGAGAACAACATTCTTAGCCCACCATAAGGGGCGTTCCAGAGGACTGCTGGGGCATTCCTGGTGGGAATCTCTTGCCGTGCCGCTGGATTTTGGGATGCTGAGGGTGTGTTTTCCCGCAGGATCCCGACGGGGAGCACGCCAGGAGGGCCATGCACAAGGTCATGGCGGTGGCCGGAGGGATGGGAATCGGGCCCGGCCCCGGCGGCCCCGGAATGATCAACATCCCGCCCAACATCCTGAACAATCCCAACATTCCCAACGAGATCATCCACGCCCTGCAGGCAGGCAGGTTGGGAAGCACCGTCTTCGTGGCCAACGTGAGTGCTGGGGGGCGGGAATCGGGATTGCCTTGGAATTCCAGCTCCGGGAAAACCCCGGAGGGGCTTCGTCTTCCTTGGGTGGCTTCAGTCCGGCCTGGTTGTCTTGGTGATCCTAAGGAGGTTCTAAGTTAGGAATTATATTTAAATTACATGGCAGAGTGTTGTTAATCTGGATTTTTGAGCAAAGTAGCATCTTAGTCTGTGTCTTGTTGGTTCTTTGTGTTGTGCCTAAATTCCACAGTGTCTGTTCATTTGGATTTTTGAAGAGAGCAGTAACTTAGTCTGTGTTTTGTGGATTCCCTGTGCTAAGGAAGTGATGAATTAAGAGGTACCTGCATGTCCCAGTGCCTGTTAATTTGGATTTAGAGCAGTAACTTAATCTGTTTTGTTGCTTCCCTGTGCTAAGGGAGTTCTGAATTAAGATATGTGTCCCAGTGCCTGTTAATTTAGATTTTGAGCAGTAACTTAATCTGTTTTGTTGCTTCCCTGTGCTAAGGGAGTTCTGAATTAAGATATGTGTCCCAGTGCCTGTTAATTTAGATTTTGAGCAGTAACTTAATCTGTTTTGTTGCTTCCCTGTGCTAAGGGAGTTCTGAATTAAGATATGTGTCCCAGTGCCTGTTAATTTAGATTTTTG